GGCAGAAGTGAAACAGAACTCAAGAAAAGAATAGGGATGGCCAAAAACATTTTCAACAACATGCAAAAGTTACTGACATCAAGAGAAATAAGCAATACATTAAAAATGAGAATTGTCAAATGTTATGTATTCTCAACCTTTCTGTATGGCACAGAGACATGGACAATGAACAAACAACTGGAAAATCGTATCAATTCTTTGGAGATGTGGATATACAGAAGATTAGGTCGTATTTCATGGGAACAAAAGCTATAAAATACAGAGGTACTGAGGAAATTGGGAATGAAAAGAGAGTTGCTAGGTGAAATAAAAAAGAGACAAGTGACATATTTTGGTCACATTAAAAGACATAACAGTATTGTAAAGATCACCATAGATGGAAAGGTTCAAGGTAGGCGATCATAAGGCAGACAGCGTTACAAGTGGGAGGATAACATCAAGAGACGGACGAACAGCAGTATGAGCGAGTGTACATCAAGGGCAAGAGACATGGCTTGTTGGAGATCCATTGTAGCCAATCTTCTTTGTGGAGACGGCAATTGATATATATATATATATATATATATATATATATATATATATATATATATATATATATATATAAAGCAGAAAGAAAACTCGTTCTACGTGGTGGGGGAGGTGTGAGGAGGTGACATAAAATTATTGTACCAAAATTCAGTGTGTAAAAAAAAACTTATTGGCTTGAAATGTCCCGTTTTCAGTTCAAAATATTAGTAATTTATCCCGCTTTCTGTTCAAAATGTTATTATATTATGTTATCGCAATATTATATCATAAAAATATCAGTAGGATGTCCCGTTTTCAGCTCAGGCTTTTATGATCACACTGCCCTTACATATTTCTAAGGGAAGAGCCCAGACACAACAGTGTCACTTACTGTTTTCCCAGTAAAAGCAGGGGTGGGGTGCCCCAATGCTCTAAGTCCCCTCCCCCAAGTTCTTTCACCCCTAAATAGGGTTCTCGTAAACGCAACATATAGTATTGTTATATAATAGCCCTTTGTTCCAATGTGTATTATTTCACATAATACATAAATATTAGACCCATGCTTGATTAATATAAATTTATGTAACCTATAGTGCCATTTCAATGGTTTGATAATAATTATGTCCGTATTCCATAATTGTGAATTTCAAGCTGTACGACAGACATGGTTAATGAAGAGCCATCTTTTGTTTTACGGGTAGCTAATTGGTCGTTACACTTATTTCTACAGCGATGTACACACCATTTGGAGGTGACAGGTTTGACTCCCGATGGTAGTTTTCGATTTTTGTATTGTCTAGTGTGTTCTGCTATCCTTTTACAAGTGTCGATCAATAAACTGTCTGTTTGTTTATTTCTACGGCCTTAAGTGTCTTCTCTCTCCCCGTTTATTTGTTAAAACAGGTGTGATCAACAGGTATAGTTTGTCAACAATCTTTGCTAGCAGCACATATTGGTTATCCTCTTGAGTATTGATACACACACACTTCCTAATATGGATACTAACAATAACAAAGTCCCCCCAACCATGTTTTACAGCTTAATTTTTAATTTGTTTGGCTTAATAAAGAAGATATTTTAATATTATAAACGAAATCGAACTGAGTTGATATTAGTTTAGGATACAGATGAAAGAATGCCAACTATATGTTGGAATTAAGCGCAACGTAATTTAACACATGAGAGTTAACAGGGTTTTATTCACACCATTTTCTGAAGAATACTCATTCCTGATAAAATATAGTTCACGATTATCAGTACTTTAGCGATGACATTCTTTTCTCTGACCTGTAAATTTTTATATATTTTAATTAAAATATAGTTTATAATAACACAAATATCATATTCGCCTATATTTCCGATATAAATCATTTGCTGTAATGGCATATTTATGATGGCACTACTTTTCAAATGGCTGCTTTGGAAATCCTTCATGTTAAGACGTGCTTCAGAAAAAGCAGCTATACACACCTCTGACCTTGGATAATAGCCGTGTTTGCAGTTGTTTTATTTAGTCGTACAGTTTTTCGAACGGGGGTATCGTGTATTCGCGATAATCTGAAGTCCCCACGAAACGGGGTGCTTCAAATTAGGTGGCGTGTCTGTACAACTAACAGTGTTGTCGTCTGCAGTTCCAGTCGCAGAAGTCTGCAGTGGAGGCTGTGTAGTAGTAACTCAACAATCAGGTTTCTTTACAGTTCCTTTGGATGGGGGCTTTCCCCTGTTATGTACACAAGTGTGTTGCCTTTCTGAAGCACATTTATGAAGGAAATGATTGCCAAAGAGGTGACCTCTGGCCGCTTAGCCACAGCTGAACGTGAATTTAATAATGGTAAATTATTTTAACACCATCAAAATGAAAATTGAATGATCATCATGGATTGTTTATATTTTATTATACCCACACAACATCGATGTCATTTATATCCTTCGCAACACATTGAACGCAACACATTGAACGCCATTCCATACTTTACTTCGTTGACCATAAATTTAGAATTTTCAGCATAAAGTGTTATATGTGCTTGTTATTGGTGTTCACTGCTGTCGATTTTAAGAAAACTAAGAAATTAATTGAAGCAAAACACAACTGGTAATACTATTACTACTACCGTATTCCACATGGCTAATAAGGACATCTTTTATTTTAGGGGTAGCTAATAACTAATTGGTCATGTTCTTAGTAGACTTATTTCGGCTATCTTCCGAATAACGGTCCCAAATTATCTACACAGAAAATAATCCCTAACATGGCCTCAGTCACTTGTCAGTTGCGTATTTCCGTGAACTATACCGGCCCTGCCGAATTGCGAACTTCTGGCACCTTACGCCACCACCGAGAGTATCCCTCCGCCACGTGTCCCCCACGCCGCGTGAGTGGCGTGGATTGGGGCTATACTAGATGGCTGGGACTTACGAGCAAATAAAACAAAGACAGCTGCAGGAAATGCGGTAGCTGCTGCTCATAAGTCCCAGCGTGAGCAGCACGTGGCGGAGGGATACTCTCGGCGGTGGGGGAGGTTGCCAAATGTTCGCAATTCGGCGGCGGCGGAAGTCGCTGCAAGCTCGCATTACAAGATGACAGAACTGCGCAATTGACAAATGACTGAGGCCCTGTTAGGGATTATTTTCTGCGTAGATAATTAGGGACCGTTATTTGGAAGATAGCCCTTATTTCTCCAGCGATGCACACACCATTTGGAGGTGATGGGTTCGATTCCCATTGGTAACTTTAGATTTTTTATGTTGTCTAGTGTGTTCTGCTAGCTTTCTACCAGTGCCGATCAATAAACTGTCTGTTTGTTTATTTAATGGCCTTAAGTGTCCCCACCCACCCCCTTTTCATGTTTATTTATGTTAAAACGGGGGTGATCAGCAGGTATAGTTTGTCAACAATCTTTGCTAGCAGCACCTATTGGTTATCCTCTTGAGTATTGATACACACATCCTAATATGGGTACTAACAATAACAAAGACACTTTGTTCTGAAGATTGCTGGCATCCTGGGGACTATGGAGATGTGCTGCTGGCTTTGGGAACAGCATCTGCTGAGACTGTAAAGTCCTATGCGGGAGTGACAGTCTCTGCCACGTAGGATTGCCCAAAAAGATACTCCCTCGCTATGAGACTGATTTTCTGTCTGGTGTCTCCTCTTTGTAGCTCGTTGCGTTTGTCTTCTCAACTTGAACCTTTGACTCTAGTTACAACTTCTGGAATTTGAAAGGGGTGTTTGGGATTTGTTCTATTGGCTTGCCATCAAGATTGAGAGTTTTTAATCTTCGGGTGGTCAGACCATCAGGTAGCAACCAGGAGGAAAAGAAAGATGGCTAAACATTCTCAAAATGAAACCACAGTGTTTAAGATATAAGATGTCTTAAACACTTCATCATCAGAGTCTTCCCCCCCCCCTCCCCCCTGATGAATGTCCATTATCCTAGCTGGCCTAGAGGTCTAGGATTCTAATCCATATCAGGGCACATTTTTTTTCAGGGAATTTGCATGCTAGATTATCTTCTTCTTCTTCTTCTTCTTCTTCTTCTTCTTCTTCTTCTTCTTCTTCTTCTTCTTCTTCTTCTTCTACTTCTTCTTCTTCTTCTTCTACTTCTTCTTCTTCTTCTTCTTCTTCTACTTCTTCTTCTTCTTGTTCTTCTTCTTCTTCTTCTTCCTCCTCTTCTTCTTCTTCTCCGCCTCCTCCTCCTGCTTCTGGTTTTTCTTCTTCTTCTCTAATCCTCTATTGCCTTTCAGCGTCAGGTTTTGAAAATGTTTTGGGTTAGAGCTTTGGTATGTGCTGCATAGATGCTGGTATTTATGGCCTAGGATATTCCCTCTGTCCATGGCCTGCCTCGTTGAACTCTGGCTCTGCTTCCATTATATTTTCGACAGTGATGCCGAGAGCTGACCTTTCAGAAAGCAGTGGCCAGCTACTGAACATACAGCCTAGAAAAACCACAACAGCCAAACAATTCTGAGGTTGGTTCTACAACCTCCTACAAAGGATTCGCAACTAACTGTAAGTTTCCAGCCTAAAATAGGTACAAGGTAATGTTCATAGAGAAGGAAAGGCAGCAGACTTGACTGTGACCACATCGCTAATTGAGTACCAGTTTGTCTAATAAAATAAAAATCTAGCCTAAAGTGCCGTCCGTGGCTTAGGCGTTGTGAGTCTGACTCGTAATACCAACGTACCACGATCGAAACCCACTGATGGCTTCTTGGAATTTTATCATGGTATGGTGCGTCGCAGGTCGACCCAGTCAAAAATGGGTACCGGGATAGCTGTCCTGGGGAAGTAAAGATGGCCGACATGATACTGACCACATTACCTACCTAGTGCTGATAGTCTGTAAAAATATGGGTACGCCCGATGCGCCTAAAGGCGTGAAAATAGATCTTACTATAAACCCAATCCACTGTAGCATGAAAATGGTCCTTAGCTTACTATCTACAGTAATGTTTATTTGTAAAGGCCTTGAATGTCCAAGTTTCTCTTCCAGGATGAATTCCATCCATTTATCGAGGCCCTTTTGCCTCACGTCAAGTCGTTCTCCTACACATGGTTCAACCTTCAGGCATCAAAGAGAAAATACTTCAAGAAACATGAAAAGAGAATGTCCATGGAAGAGGAGAGGAGAGTCAAAGATGAGTTACAGGTGGGGTATATGATTTGTGTATGTTTTAGGTGTGGTATATGTTTCTTAAATATTTTTTAAGGGTTAAATTTAAAGGGATCAACTTCATTGCTATAGGTTTTATCCTGTATAGCTTGGTCTGTCTCTGCAGAATTGGTGGCCACCTGCGAGAACATCTCACAAAGCATAAACTCCATCCTAACTCCAGCAATGATCCCCCCCGGATCTCCTTATAAACTGCACTTGGGAATTGAACAACACATCTATGAAACGAACCCATCACCTTCAGAGCACTAGCCAGCTGGCTTGATTAATTCACCAGTTTTATTGAGAGCAGGGACAGTAAGCAAACATGCTGAAAAACATTGGTGCTTTATTAATATCAAAACGGGAGATCCACAGGTCATGGGACAGTCTAATATTTCAGGGGGCGGTAGATAGGCTGCATGCAGTTGTGGGATCTAGGCTGCGTGCAGTCATGGGGCCTAGGCTGCACTCTCTCGTGGGATGAAGGTGGGTTGGGGTTTAGGGCCTGTTCTAGTTGTTTTGGGGTCTTTAAAAGCATCAGAAAGCCGGGAAACCCAGTCTTACCACCCTTTAAAATGTTGGACTGACCTGTGACATAATCGGGGGTAGGATAATAAAGCACCAAAACATTTACTTACAGCAGTGATATGGTTTGTGAAAAGAAAGAATAACAGTGGAATGTAAACTCTTTGGACCACTGAATGAACTAAAAATGACAGTGAAATTGATACGCGAGACAAAAACGCAAGAAGAGGAAGATGAAATGGCTGTCCAGTTGGGGCAAAAGGCAGGTTTTCTTTGAGAAATAGCACCCAAACATTACTATAGTTAATAAATGTATCAAGTCATTTGTTGACAATGTGTTTGAACAGTTTTTGCAAATTTATTAAAACAATGAAACAAACAATGTTAGACTGCGAATTGATGAATCATCTGGGTGTGCTGATGAATTATTAAGGCATGAATGACCAGAAGTAACTTTACCTTATGTCACAATGGACAAGGACTTCCCTTCCAAACAACAGCCATTGTTTTTTCATCCAAAAGATAAATTTCTCTTATAAATTGTTATAATGTATTTATGTAGTCCTACGGTATATTTATGCATCATGGCAGGGCAGATGTGGTCAAGGCCCTTTGGGAACAAGCAATGGAATCAGTAGAGAAAGAAGATTATTATGGCCTGGAGAGAATGAGGCATCTGGGTGTAACCAGAGGGTCTGGCCAGCTCACTGCACTCAGAGGAAAGGCAAGATGGACTTTTAGCCAGATTGTGACTGGTAAAATCAGTATTGGAACTCTGCGCTGGCTGCTGAAGATGAGGACAGAACATGCATGGGAATGCCCCGAGTGCTGTGATGTCGGTTCTCGACTCAGCTCAGCTCAACTCAACATGGCGAGTAAATTTCTGTCATAATTATAAAGCAGTAATAAGTATAGTAGCTAGTATGTAATTAAAATGAATTCTCAACAATTTCTGAGATCAATTTTTGAGTGAATTTTTTTCTTTGTTAAATTATAGATTAGGCAAAATTCCGGGCTGGGAACAGATTTAAATATTTGGATTCCTATGGGGAAAACTCATTTGATATTTTTCTTTTGTAATATTCATCCTCATTTCAGGAACAGATTAATGACGAATACTGTGGTTCCACTGTATATTCTTATTTCACCATTTTGCGTGATCAGCTGCATCAGTTTACATTTATACATTGTTTCTTTTCAAATTAGAACGAGAAGGCAGACATAAAACAGAAGTGGGCCTCCAGACTGCTGGCCAAGCTGAGAAAAGACATTACCCAGGAGTGCCGTGAAGACTTTGTACTCAGTATAACCCGCAAGCGAAATCCAATCTGTGTGCTCAGCAATCCGGATCAGAAGGGCAAAATGAGGCGGATTGACTGTTTGCGGCAAGCTGATAAAGTTTGGAGGCTTGACCTGGTCATGGTCATCCTGTTTAAAGCAATCCCTCTGGAGTCGACGGATGGGGAGAGGCTGGAGAAGTCTCCGGACTGTTTACATCCTAATCTGTGTGTGAACCCATACCATATAAGTGTCTCGGTCAGAGAGCTGGATCTTTACCTTGCTAACTTTATACATAGTTATGGTAAGTTGGTTTCAAATATACTAGAATATATTGTTACTTTTTCATTGTCAAGTCTTTGACTGTCTATTCTTGGCTGTCTGTTTTTGGCACCTGTTTTTAATTTAAGTTTGTTTTCCCCCAACACATAAGATGTTTTCACTGCCTACATCTGCTCCTCTGTATGCATGGTCATCCATCAGAAAGCTTATATATTTTTTTCTTCTTATTATCCATGCCATCTGACATTGGTAGTCATGTTTCCACAACCTTCTATCTCGTGCACTTTAAATCAGTTCTAATTCATATGATCTTCCATGCCCTGATTTCCAGCCATCCAGGAACTTCTATGTCAGCTTCTTTTCCCCTCCAACTTTCCCTTCATCTTGATGTGCTCCAGTTTTCTCCTCATGACATGACCAAAGAATGTGCAGTAGTCTCCTTTTAGTGTAGGCAGTTCTCTTTGGGAGTCAGTTTTTTATTTGAAGACATCTTCATTGCTCTTTATTATATTTATTTTATATTTATTTATTTGGGTTAGAACAATAACTAAATGAATCATCAGGATTTCAGAAAAGTATATCATGCCATTTGAAATTAACACAAATACTTTGAGTTGTTTGCTGCCAGATGAGTTAGTCTGTTGGTGTCCTGTCTGAGATGCTGCTTCCTCATTTATAGTTGTCCTGTGTGAGAGGCTGCTTCCTCATTCATAGTTGTCCTGTGTGAGAGGCTACTTCCTCATTTATAGTTGTCCTGTGTGAGAGGCTGCTTCCTCATTCATAGTTGTCCTGTGTGAGAGGCTACTTCCTCATTCATAATTGTCCTGTGTGAGAGGCTGCTTCCTCATTCATAGTTGTCCTGTGTGAGAGGCTACTTCCTCATTTATAGTTGTCCTGTGTGAGAGGCTGCTTCCTCATTCATAGTTGTCCTGTGTGAGAGGCTACTTCCTCATTCATAATTGTCCTGTGTGAGAGGCTGCTTCCTCATTCATAGTTGTCCTGTGTGAGAGGCTGCTTCCTCATTCATAGTTGTCCTGTGTGAGAGGCTACTTCCTCATTCATAGTTGTCCTGTGTGAGAGGCTGCTTCCTCATTCATAGTTGTCCTGTGTGAGAGGCTACTTCCTCATTCATAGTTGTCCTGTGTGAGAGGCTGCTTCCTCATTCATAGTTGTCCTGTGTGAGAGGCTGCTTCCTCATTCATAGTTGTCCCGTGTGAGAGGCTGCTTCCTCATTCATAGTTGTCCTGTACCTTGTGGCAGTTTTTTCACAAACATATCTCCTACATTTTCTCAGGGACTCAGGGAGTGCTGTTTCACTAAAGAGTGCTTAAAATTCCTGGGACAGCCGGAATGAGCTACCCAGATGTTTTGAAAGAGGGCCCGAAGATAAATTATCACATACAAACATCAGAAGGAGACAGTCATAATTTTGTGGTTTGTGGTCATGTTATGAGAAGAAAGAAACTGGAAAAGGTTTGTGACGACTGGAAATATTTGTGGAAGAAGAGATAAGAGGAGGACTGTGTGAGAAGACTCTTGACAGCATTTTGTCATAGCATGTAGAGGTGTCAGCACATGAACTGATCCATGCTATTGCAGATCACAGGTTGTGGAGAGTCATGATTACCCTTGCCAGTTGGCAGAGCACTTGATAATGATGTAGCTGATGTTTTCTGGGCCACTGCCTCAACTCATTCAGCATTTTCTCCCTGTGTTAGCCACTCTCTAAAACTGTCTGGGTGCTCCTATGCTTGCATTAGATTCTTCTCTTGCTTCTCCCCATACTCCTCCATTGGAGCAAAGACGCTCAAAAGGCTTGTAATTTTAATTGACTCCTCACATTCTCCATTTTCCTGGTCCCCCCCCCCCCCCCCCCCTTTTTTTTTTTTTTTTGGTTAGCACCCGTTTAATAACTGAACTGATTCTATCATACACTTTGATTATTCTTCCCTCTATCCCCCAGTGAAGCATAAGCCCTGCCAACCTGCACAGAATCGCTATCGTGCTTTTCTTTCCCTCTTTTTAATTTCATTCTCTGATTCACTTCTCAGTTTTTTTTTAATTTGTTTAAATAGTCTGCCTTATTTCTTTGACTCTGTATGGATTTCAGTGCAAAGACATTTTAGTTATATTTTTAATCAGCTTTTCTTACTGTGTGTCCTATCCAGCACCAGATTTTTTCCTCACCCCATGATTCATTGGAATTTGTTTAGTTCTCTCCCAAAGCTCCACATTAATTGCTGTCCTACCATTTTATTCTCTTTCTTCTGCGGAGGAGCAAGTTAATGCATGTTTGTAGTTTATTACTGATAACTTTAGTTGCTCTCCATATTTCAGCTTCATATTGCACTCAGTCTTGTTGCATGGCATGGAGGTGTGTCACCACACGAACTGATACATGCTGCAGGAGATCGCGAATTGTGGACAGGCATGATCGCCCACTCCAGTCGGCAAGGCACCTGATGATGATGATTTCACTCTCTTGGTCATTTGGAAAGAAAATGGGGGTTTTTATGTGAAAAGCTATAGAAAGATTCTCAGAATACCATGGACCAAGAAGAAATATTAAAATATCTGAACGGTAAGGAAGATTGTCTAGAAAACAGCATCTTTCCCTAGGAACTGAAATATTCTGATCATATCAAGCATCACGGAGGATTGTAGAAAATGGTAGCAGAAAGCATGGTACCAGGAAAGAGGGACAGGGGCTGACCAGCACAAAGATTGACACAGGAATGTGCATGAGGTGGTTTAAGGTTTGAACAACGGATCAACATCATGGTACACTGGTAGTAACCCATAAGTGCTCCCTTTTTCTTCTAACTCAAGTCTGTCTGAGTGCACAGGCTCTGTAGCACCGGTAAAGATCCTGAAATAATTTGGGTCGATTTTAACTCCAAATTTTGCCCGGGCAGCGCCGTAAGTCTACTCTTTTTGATTTTTTGCTGCCATGGGATGTTTTACGAGTGCAACAATGCACACGGGCGTCCGATCTCACTACCCAGAGACCAGGGGGAATCACTAAAAGTCCAAGTCCTCGTGAAAAAATCCCAGCCCTTACCAGGAATTTAACCCGGAATCTCTAGCACTCAAAGCGGACACCATACCTCGAGACCACGCAGCCCCATAAGATGGTAAAGCTGACGAGAGACCAAGTTTGTGTTAGGCAGACTGCGATGAGAGCAGTGATTAACAGAGGGTCTGCTTCAATGACAGTACATCTTGGTTAATCACCACAGTCTGGTGAGATTGATGCAGCAGGGAGTGAAGAGGGGTTCTGGCAGATGCTCAAAGCTCAGAGAAAAGTAGAGACGAACGTTTAATCAGAATGCTACTGGTACCATTAGTATCGGAACTCTGCACTGGCTGCTGAAGATAGGAACGGAGCACTTGAGGGAATGCCCTGCGGGCTGTGATGTCACCTCAACTCATCACATCTTGGTTAATACTGTCTGAATTGTAAATCTTATCTTTTCAGTGCCAGATCTCCATGGTGACTACATTGATCTTTCAATGAATGGGGATGCAGATATCAAAGGTAAGTTGTTGATATTTTATTATTGTGTGTGGTTTCTTCTTCTTCTTCTTCTTCTTCTTCTTCTTCTTCTTCTTCTTCTTCTTCTTCTTCTTCTTCTTCTTCTTCTTCTTCTTCTTCTTCTTCTTCTTCTTCTTCTTCTTCTTCCTCTTCACATTCACCAGCTGTAAACTCTGGGGGAAAATTCTGATTGTTCATCTACCTCTGTACTTTACTCTTCTTCCAGAACCTATGTGTTGAATGCACATCCATTTTACAAATCTGACTTATTTGTATACAGACTGCTGCTTGCTTAGCTCAGAGAGATGAACTCCTACTTGAAAGGGAGCTTCCAGTTAGTTGACTCTTACAACATGCTTGTCGGGGATGCAGTGGTTGTTCCCCCACCCCCTCTCCCACCACCACCTGCCCCACAAAGGTGCCCCGGAACCCACACGGGGATGAGTTATGTTTGATACTGTACTGTAAGGCAAATAGGTTATTGTTCGCCTCCAGGATTGCTGTCTGTGCGATTAACACCTCAAGAATGAGAATCAAACTGGAGCAGATCCCAGAAACCCTCTTCTGCCATATAACACAGTTATGTAAAGGTGACCCTATGGTTCCAGAGAAACCTGCAGTCCTTTGTTAGGGTGGGTTATTCAAATTAATAATGTAGTGTGCTTGATGCATAACGATGTGGCAAGTTAATTTGTAACAGTATTGAACTTTTAGAATAGTATGTTTATGGGTAAACATAAGGTAAAATACTAGAAAGATAGGAAGGCAGGACAGAAAGAGAGATATACACACTAACAAGTGAATTTAATGCTTGTGGTTGTTCAGATTTACTTTGATCAGTATTTAGTTTGTAAATTCTTACATTTTTGTGTGGATTATTAAAAAAAAAATTGTAAAGTGAGGAAGACAGGAAAGTGGGGGGGGGGGGGGGGGGGGAATGCACTGGCAAGTGGGCATGATACTCGTCTGAGGTAAAGTTAAGGACCCTTTTCCTCGCCTTCATGCATATTGGGTTAGACCCATATTTTGCAGACCAATTAGCACCTAGTGGGTGATATGGTCAGCGTCTCGCCAGGCGGATCTATGAGGTGATAGCAAGTTTATTTCTATTTTTTTTATTTTTATTGTTAATTTTTTTTTTTTTTTTTTCCAGCTTCTAAAATAGTACTTGCGTGGATAAACAAAAGGTTAAATTAGAAAGAGAGATGAAGATAGTTCTAGTATTTCATGTTTTATTCTTGTATTTCATGTTTTTCCCCTGTATTTCATGTTTTGTTTTTCTTGTTTTGTTCATTGAATGATTGTGTTCTTCTATTTGATGCTTTCTTTGTGTTGTGTTTTATTTCATGTATTTCATATTGCATTCTTGTATTTCATGTTTTGTTTGTGTTTTATGTTTCATTCTTTTATTTCATATTAAGTTCTTTAATTCAGGTTTTCTTTATGTTTCATATGTTGCATATTTTGTTCTTGTATTTCATATTGTGTTCTTGAATTTCGTGTTTTGATCTTGTATTTTTGTTGCATTTTAAATTATTTTATTCTTTTCCCCCTGTATTTTATTTTCCATTTGTGTCTTTTTTTCTCTTTTTTTTCTTCATGTTTTGTTCTAGTATTTTATGTTGTTTTTTGTGTTTCCTGCTTTTGTTACTGAAACTATCCTATTTTGACATTCTAGTTCCGGGTAACATCCACTCTGGTGTGTCTGGAAATGATAGCATCATGGCAACTGGGGTGTTTTCTGCATCTGAGCTGCTTCGTGTCACTCGACGTAAGTCCTGATTCTTAGGCTGTTTTGTAGTTACTGTAGAGCTCTGTTCTGTCGTCGTCATCATCATCATCAGAAGTATGAAGTAGATTAATGAGTGATTACTGTTTAAAGCACTTGTGGGAGCGGGGACAAGAATGAAGATTTAACTCTCTCGCCCTGGGAACACTAAAAAAAACATTTACTTCCAGCAAAAAAGAACGATTTAGCACACATCATTAATAAATTCATAAAAAGTTTATTTATCTCATAATCATCATCATCCCATAACACTAGGTGTCATTGGGTCACCCGTTTCTGTTGACTGTCTGATCAGCTCTCTCCACCTTTAGCAGTCAGTTGCGATGGACCATGGTTAAATGCCTGAGGCCTGTCCAGTCAATCAGGTTCTGTAACCAGGTCTTTCTTGTTCTGCCTCTTCTCCTCTTTCCCTCTACTGAGCACTGCAGTATTTTTTTTAAAGGCTATTAGATCTTGTTACGTGTCCATACCATTGCATTTTTCGCCTTTTCACTGTAGTTAAAAGAGGTTCATAGTTACCTCTTCTTTATTTAAAGCTTTAAAGCTCCAGAAGTGTGAATGAAATTGGTAAACAAAGAAACCAAACATTCCGACCCAATCGCCCTTATGAACTCATCGCTAAAGACCATTGATTCTTACCCCCAAGAATGGATACATGTTTATACTGATGGATCTGCATTTAAAGCTACCATTAAATCAGGTTACAGAATCTACCTAGGTTATCCTGATGGATCTGTTGAAGAGATTTTTGATGCATGCGGGAAATTCTGCTCAAATTATGAAGCTGAAATAATTGCACTGGAAACAGCAGTATACCACCTGAAGACTGTAATGGATTTTTACCCTTCAAAGGCCCAAAATATTGTCATCTTTACCTATTCAGTGTCTGCTCTTCAAGCACTTGAGGGCAGTGAATGCTGCAGAACTGACATAGCCAAGATAATTATGGATGCTGTCTTATAACTGTTAACACTAGTGGTTGCCCAAACATTTCTCCCATCTCTTCGCCCTTTCCCGCATCAAGTGTCAGTTGGCCTATTAAAAGAGGGGTCTAGCTTGTTTGTTTATTCGTTTGTTTGATTATTCAGCGGATCAGCATCATGGCACACAGGTGTAACCCATAAGTGCTCTGTTCTTCTTCAACTCAAGCCTGAGTCTGAAGAATCTCAGTGCAGTGCACACACTCTGTAGCACTGTCGAGGATCCTGAAATACTTTGGGTAGATTTTTAACTACAAATTTTTTCCAGGCTGCGCCGTTAGACTACTCTTTTCGATTTCCAACTGCCAAGGATTTTTTACGCGCGCAACAATACACACTGGCATCCAATCTTACTACCCAGAGACCAGGGGAAATTACTAGAAGTCCATAGGAAAAAAGCCCAGCCTTCACCTGGGCTTGAACCCAGGACCTCTAGCACTCAAGGTGGACACCAACCATGCCTTGAGACCACGCAGCCCCCTGAGGGGTCTAGCTACATATGTCTTGTACATCAGGGACAGAAAAAGGATCCAATATGTTTTACTTTTTTTGTTTTTTATAGCATCAATAATGATGACTCCAAATGGCACCCATTCACTCGTCCAGCAAGGAAGATTGGATTCTCCCAGCTACTACAGCTACAGTCCTCAGGAGCAGGGACCACCAACCATGGTCCCAATGCATACAGTCACTCTGAGCAATGGTCAGACGGCTACTCTGAGTCCTGCAGGTAGTCAAGCAGTTGGGTGTTACTGTTGTCAGTGTGTTCTTGTGGGTGTGTGATCTAGTGTCATGCTTCTTCTTCTCCTCCTGTTCCCTTTTCTTCCTTTTATTCATCTTCTCATATTTCTTCTTGTTCCTCCTTCTTCTCTACTTCTCCTTCTTCTTCTCCTCCCCTTTCTTCTTGTGATCACACTAATGTTTTACACAGGCAGATGTTCTGTGATAAAGTTGAGAGTTGTTGGAGCTCCTTTTAATTCCATAAAGTTTTGAATATACTGTTGGCTCGTAAGGCCAGTATTCTTTTCATAATAAGCCCTGTCGGGACATCTTCTGGAGTTGGTTCACAGAGCAAAGTTACACTACTCAGATGAGTGCCTTGTAAGTCTTTAAATTGCTAATGCACCCTTATGTTACTGGTAGACATCTGAGAAGCAGAGAATTGTAACACTTAGATTAGATGTTCTGAGTTCGGACATGTATCAGTGTTCAGCATCTTCTTCTTCTCTTCCTGTGTTGCCTTTCAGCATTAGGTTTGGAAGAGGCATCGGGTGAGAGCCTTGGTATGTGCTACGTAGATGCTGGTTTTTACGGTCTAGGATATTCCCTCTATCCATTGCTTGGGTGGTCGACCTCTGGCTCTTCTTCCATTTTGTCTTAAACGACCGGACTGTCTGTGGTGCAGTGTCTGGTATTAGTCTTAACACATGTGCACACCATTTATTTGATCTGCTTTCTTTTGTTGTTATTTAATACTGATTCCGTCCCAGCCTTTTTCCTGATATCATCATTTATTTTACCTTGTGTCAGCTAGCCTTAATCTGAGTAATAATAATGATATTCTTGTTTTAATTTAATTATGTTTTTATTTTAATTTTATTCTATAAAAATATAGTCTGAAAAAATATAGGCCTGGCAAGGTATGTGTAATGTGCCAATATCATGAATAGGGGACCTTCTCATACTTTACCTTGCTTACTTCCCAGCAGGTGTGTACACCAGCCACAATTTTACTGCAGTCCTCTGTTAAAAGTGAGGGGATGGACTTTTGCACTAGATTTTATCACATATGGCTCAGTCTCTGTCTGCATAACAGCTAACTGCTGAACCGAATGAAACAAACCCATGACTTTCAGAGCATGAGGCAAGTGGCTTGACCGCTTCACCATGGAGACTCCCAAAAGCTCTTTGTAAAGTTTCTCAGCAGGGATACACTGTTGTGTAACACATTTCTATAATTTTTAAAAGTTTCTGTCATTTAGAATAGTGTTTTCCCGTTTGGGAGCAGGGCCCCATTGTGGGTGGAAACAATTAGACCCACTGTACCCCTTACAAGCATGACAGAAATTAAAGTAAAAAGTAAAGGACCCTTTTCTAGCCTTCCGGCGTATTGGGCATATAGGGCTAGACCTGTATTTGTATAGACCAGTCAGCACTCAGTGGGTCAGCATCATGCTGAACATGTTGTTAAAGTCTACTAATTGGGGAAGGGGGGGGGGGGCTGATGGGGAATTCCTCCAGAGTTCATCGGACTGAGAGGCAAGGAGCCAACAACCTGTTTAGGAATAAGCCAGATCTGTAAAATTGATGTGGACACAAAACTCAAGTTCTGAATGAAGACTAAAGTCCAGAAGCAGACAAACAACCAGATTTTTCCAAGAGAGTTTACAGCCAATGGCTGCTAAGGACAAGCAACCCATGACTGTCAGAGCATGAGACAAAGGGTTTGTCAACTTCACCATGGAGACCCTCAGCCAGTGCTGGATTTAGCTACAGCTTAGGGCCTCACAATCTGTAGGGGCAGGAATTTTAATTTTATATATATATATATTATCCAGCTTTATCCTCAGCAGCTCTGTGTAGTCTTTTAGCAGGACTACACGATTGTGTAGTATGTATGTGAAACTTTTAATAGTTTCTGTCGCTTTGAATAATATTTATCTTTTTGGTGAACTGTTTCTTTCTCTTTTAGAATAACTGAATTTTAAAATTTTTTTACAGGAAACCCACATAAAAAGTTGAAGCGGAGCCACATGAACTCAATGTCCTCGGTAGATGATGATGTCGACAGCGTGGAGGGGGAGGATACTCTCAGTGGTTACTATGCCAAGAGTTCAGGAGGCAGCCTAGGCCCACATTCCTCCTGGCAGGCGGAGCATATGGAGCCAGGTAATGTTGGGTTTGTGATGTTATTACTAGCATCTGTGGCCGAGGAGCTGTGAATGCAGTTTTGTAATACTGGCATGCCGGGTTCATTTCAGCTGCATACGATTTGGCAGCCGTTGTGTTGATTTCATTAGTGGTGTGAGCTTCGATCATTGGGTAAGCAGTTGCACATTACGAAACGTAAAATGTTTTGGTAAAACCACAATCAGCCGACAAATGCTGTGGTAAGTTTGCAACGACTTGTAAAGCTGAGTTTACTTAGGGGCCACACTGTTGAAAATGAAGATTATTAGGGGCCAGAAACTGGAAAAAGATTATTATTATTAACTGGCAATGATCCATGGGCAACTCGCTAGACCTCTGCGGGCAAGATATGGCGCACAGGCTGCCAGTTGAATAACCCTGTTGTAAAGGACATGGCCTTGGGAAAAAAACACTCAGCTTTATATAAATATGGAAGAATTGAAAATAAAAACTGCTAAATCAAAACAGAATTTATTCTGACCTGTTTTATATGAAGACTTTTAAAATCATGACATAACCAAACATCACATTGGCAGGTCGAGTCAAACGAGTCATACCAAGTCGTGGAAGCTACAAGTCGCAAGACATAACGCCAAGTTGAGCTGCAAGTCATTAATTACATGACTTAAGTTGTACAGTTTACAAACTGTGAATGTTATTGGTAGTCACCGTTGATCGTTATCAAATGGCGATATTCCCTGTGTGTGTTTTGGGACCCCAAATTAAGGATAACAAGAATAGACACACTGCCTCCCTCCAAAAAGCATGTCATAGGAGGTGACTAATTGGGGGCATTTGCCTCAGAGGCAAGGAACCAACAGTCTGCATACACATAAGTCAAATTGTAAAATAGATGTACATGCAGCACTCAGGTTCTGTAAGAAGACTAAAGCCCAGATATGAACAAATAACCAGAACTTTCCACTGAAGTTTACAGCCGATGAACATGAAAAAGAAGAAGATGTGGAGTTATGAGTAGTGCAAGCATCCATCCTTTGTCCCCAAACCTAATTTTTCGGCACTTAGCCAAAGCCACCTAATGGAGAATTTTGGCAGATTTTCACCGGAGTGTATTTTTTGAGTGCTATTATTTGTCACTTTACAATATCAAAGGCACAGATGTGAATTTCTACCAAATAGGTCAAAATGTCGCTTTACTTTTCAGTCTTCTTGCCAATCCTATGTTATCAAAACCAAACCTGGACAATTAAAAAAAAAAGAGAAAAGCAAAATTATAACAACTGAAATGAGATTCCTGTGAAGGACTGTCAATATAACGAGAAGAGATAAGATCAGGAATGATGAAATCTGAAGGAAAATTAGGGTAACAACAGCTCTGGATTTCATTAGAAGACAGCAGGTGAAATGCTGAGGCCATATAATGTGGATGTCAGTATACCACAGCAAGCAGTGATGCACCAACCAGGCGGGAAGGAAGCAGAGGCAGACCATGCAAGCAATAGACAGAGGAATTTACAGAGCCCCTGGGGATCCCCATTTACAAAGCACACAAACAGACGCTTTTCTGTAAATTATACATCACCTCGACACCGCAGGTTACAGGAGGATCACAAGAGTATCAGGATGAGATGAGAAGAGACTTTACATTCAACTACATAATTTTCTAAAACAAACATTTAGCACTAAGATGACCTGGTGTGGTGTCAGTGGTATGCCTTCAGTGTTTCTTTGTTTTTGGGTCAATAAGTCTTCTATTCACGGTCACACAAGGTCACACGGCACATGAAACTTCAGAACATTTTAAGATGCTGCACGTGTATTAAATGCTTCTCTTCTAATAGCGGTTTAAAATCCTGGGAATCAGGTTTGATGAACCTGCATATTTGTTCTATAAATGTCTATAATGCTATTGGTCGACATACACAGTTTTGAATGCATCATCTTTGTTTAGAATGTTGCCCAAGTTACAGAATTTGCAGTTGGGAAACATTGCTTTGATAGATAAAAATGTTGGATATTTTCAGGATTGAGCCAGGATCAATCTATGCACCCACCTCACATACTGCTGCCAATCAAGCCTAAACAAGAGCCAGGTTTTGCCCCTGTGTCTCCATCAGGGGGCATGGGTGGCCAGCTCTCTAGATCACTGATTCCCACACCACCCAGGCCTATGAGCACTCACACGCCAGGCATGATGTCTGCAGGCTCACATTCACAGCAGCATGCATCACCTGGCCCTGGTAGGTGTTACTGTGCCCTAAATGTCCATGCATCCTTCCTTCGTAACAGAATGGTGATGTTTGTTGTATAGTTGTACTTGAATGCTATAGTCTTCTCTTTAACAGTTTCTGTGTGTGTTGTTGTTCGTACATCAAAAGTGAAGAGAAGCACGCTTTCTTTCATCTGTCATAAAACTATAGTTGAGTTCTGTGAGTTCGGAGGTGACTTATAAAGCCAAATAGAGGCCCTGAAGGATTTAGGACAATGAGGGCAGAGAGATGAGATGTTTGAGAATGGCTGCGAATAAAACCAGAAGAGATCGAGTGAGAAACCATGTGATTACAAGAACTATTGGAACCATACCCATCGTTAAATTTATTGAGAAGCAAAGAATGAAATGGTTTGGTCACCTAATGAGAATGGAACCAACGATGCCAGCATCAAGAGCATACAACATGAAAATCGAAACACCAAGAGGCAGGGGAAGACCAAGAAGAAGATGGATTGAAGGAGTCACAGACAACTTGAGACTTCATAACATCACGGCATATGAAGCGACTGAGCGCGCCCTGGCTCGGTTGCCGATCATCTGATAGACTGCGACGCCTAGCGGCACAAGCAGATTTTGACAAAAGAAGAGGAAGAAGGGCAGAGAACAGTGACTGCAAATCGTCTGTTGTACTGGTCTTTCTAACCTGCCTGTGCTGTCCAGCGGCCCTTTTTCTTGAAGCCTCACAGGTTGCTCCCCCTCTTCGGATAGACTTTCGCCATGTAGTCCATCTGGCCTTGTGCAGCAGTCTCCCAAGTGTCAGGTTCTATATTAAAGGCTTTGAGTGATACCTTTTGAGTGTCATTGAAATGTTTTTTTCTGGCCACCATAAGAGTGTTTACCATCCTTTGTCTCACCATACATGATTATTTTTGGGAGCTAATGATCTGGCAAGCGGACAACGCAACCTGCCCATCGAATCTGTGACTGCATCAGGATGGTACTGATGCTGGGTATGCCAGCTATATCCAGTACAATAGTATCCAGGACCCTGTCTTGCCAGTTTTCTTAGATAGACTGTATGGAAGTGGTTGAGCTTCTTTGCATGACAATTTGTATACAGTCCAGTTTCTGTTAGTTTTTGTAACACTAGACGTTAGTAGTTTTTCTGTTACATATTTAGTAAATTTTTAAGGGCTTTAATTGTGTTGTTTGTTTCCTCTAGTTGCTTTTTTTTTTTTAAATTTATTTTGTGTGTTTTAACAAGAGTAGGTCAGGATGTTAAAGATGTCCACCCGAAGCAGTAAAAAAAGTAAAGAAGAGGATTAGTTACGTAAATGTTGTTTGTTTTGTAATGTCTGTAAACATGTTATGATAATTTTTCCTTTCCACTTGTCGCAGGTATAAGCCATATGGTCTTGACATCCCAGCAAGGGATTAAATATGAGGCCCAGCAGAATGACACACTGAGCGACTTTGTTACTCTGGTCTGTCAAGAGGCACAGAATTCTCAGAATCACGTGAGTTGTCTGTGGTAGTGTGTCTTCTTCTTCACTTCCTCTTTTACCACTTTGGGTGTTGAGGAAGATCTAAGTTTCAGCTGCTTGCTCTTCTGGCCATCTCGCCCATAGACACATCATGCTGTTAAAAAATTGTTCTGTAGTTCTTGGTCTTCCTTGTACTCTGTGTCCTTCTCCTCGTTTGGTGTATGCCTTGTATGGTAAGGCATCACAAGACATTCTCTTTGAGCAGGCAAACCATTTGATTTGTTTTCTGTGAATATAATTTGGTGTGTGACTTGTATGGTATGGCATCACAAAACATTCTCGCTGAGGAGGCAAACCATTTGATTTTGCTGTCTGTGTAAATAAATTGCTATGTGCCTTGTATGGTATGGCATCACAAGGAATTCTCTCTGAGCAGGCAAACCATTTGATTTGCTGTCTGTGTATATAATTTGCTGTGTGCCTTGTATGGTATGGCATCACAGGGCATTCTCTCTGAGCAGGGAAACCATTTGATGTGCTGCCTGTGAATATAATTTAGAATTGATTCTTTGCCAACTCTCTGAACTCATTCTTGATCGTATCTCTTCTGTCTGGTTTGGTGGTCTGTATATAAATTAAATGGAAATGAGAGTCAAGATTTTTGATAGAATGTATCCTTACTGTAGCCACATATGGATATGAGACGTTGACTATCTTACAATCGTTAATGAAGAAAATAGGGGATTTAGAGCTGAAATGCTATAGAAAGATTCATAGAATTCTATGAACCAAGTAGAATGGAAATTGTTCCATCCTAAAAGATTTGAACATAGCTGATAAACAGCATCTTGTTTCAGAAACTAAAATACCTTGGCCATATTAATTAAGAGTCTGTCAATTGGAAAGGACAGAAGTGGAGGTCAAGAGGGGAGGGGCTGACCACTGTGTGGGTGGGCACAAGACATAACTGACATTTTGGATACAAGAGCTGGCAATGGACAAAATGTTTTGCAGGCAATATGGTTAGAACATGAGTTGCACGACTTAGACTCAAGTACGACACAAGTCACATAATTGATGAATTGCAACTCGACTTCGGTTTTGTTTTACGATTTGAAGCTTCGACGAGTTCGTATGACTTGTTCTTCTTCCCCCGCCACTGTGATGTTTGGTTATGAAAGTCACAATTTTAAAAAGTTTTCATATAAAACAGGTCAGAATAAATTCTGTTTTGATTTAGCAGCTTCTATATTAAACTCTTCCGCTTTTATATATAATTCAGTGTGTTTTTTGCACAGCCATTTCCTGTTTTGTATTTTTTGCCATTTTTCATTGATCCATGCACAGCTTGCAATTTGGTAGCAGTGAATTAGGACTTGAATTGGGCTTGATAGATGACGACTTAGTCCAGCCTCTGCTTTCAGGTTTGCTGTGATGGGAGCAGCAATCTGTATTGGACCTGCTACATGATGATGATGATGAGACTTTCTATTGAAAGAAAAGTCGTAATTCATGGAAATAAAAACAGTCAACTGTAATAGGCTGTCTGAAAAATGGGTCCTATTTCATGGATCTCATTGGAATTCTAACACAAATATAACGGGTGACTGATACCAAGACCTTGTTGGAATTCAAACACAGATTATGACATCAAAATGGCTTTTAGAGCCTTTTGTTTACAAGAACACTCTCTGAATCCTATTTTAAGAAAATTTATTCTTATCTGGACCTCCTAAACACTGAGCAGACAAAAATAAAAAAAATACTACTGCTAATTACGCTTATCAGGTAGGCCGTTGCAGAAATGCTGTGCAAGTGGAATTTATAGGGATAAGTCACAGATGGAAATGCTTGAATCGCAGTTTTTAAGGGCAGCCAAGCAGGCGATGGAGAGATAATATCCAGATAGACCTGTAAACACTTGGTGCCACCAACTGGAAAGAGAAAGAAGGCCAGCCAGAGATATGAATGCAGGTGGGTGATATCTGCAGCATTGGACCTCAAAGACTCGGAATGCTGAAGAAGAAGAAGAAGACAGTTAATAAACTCTTGATTTTGTTGCAGCAAACTTCCCATGTTTGTGACAAAACTAGACCATTTTTTTTTTTGTCTGCTCACTTTCAGCAGGGGCAAAACTCGCCGCCAATCAGAAGCCCAAACCGGTTGCCCCATTTTTTCTCACCAGGGATGCTACCGCCACCTCCCCCTCCTCCTCCTAACCTAGCACGGCCAGTGGCCATCCTTCAAACTTCAGATGGTCACACTATACTGAGTAGTCAAGCTTCCACCACGTCTGCAGGTACGTATGTCTTTGTTCTTAAGTAGATTTCATGCAATCCACCCATTTGTACTGAAAGTACATATATCTTTGTTCTTAGGTAGATTTCATATAACCACCACATTGGTCTGCAGGCACATATATCTTTGTTCTTATGTAGATTTCATAAAACCACCACATTGGACTGCATGCACATATATCTTTGTTTTTAGGTAGATTTCATAGGAACCACCACTTTGGACTGCAGGTACATAAATCTTTATTCTTAGGTAGATTTCATACAATCCACCTTATGGACTGAAAGTGCATATATCTTTGTTCTTAGGTAGATTTCATACAATCCACCACATTGGACTGCAGGTACATGTATCTTTGTTTTTAGGTAGATTTCATACAATCCACCACATTGGACTGCAGCTTAGTTCATAAGTGTTTTGTAGTACCCCAGTATAACTGTGCTGTACGGTTGAATGGGGTTTCCAGAATTTGTAGCTGTTTGATTCTCATCATTGAGACATTAATCTTACAGGATGTAAATCTGGCAGTGGTGAAATGTCACAAGCTAGCTTAGTTCGGGCACCTGGTGAGACGTGATTCAATGGTGAGACATGATTCAGTTGCAAAGACTGTACTTCAAGGAACATTGGGGGTAGTTCCCGCCCCCCCCCCCCCCCCTTTTTTTTTTCTTCAACCTAAACGGGGAAAAACAGGATTAAACATAGAAAGACCCCCCCCACCACCACCATCACGGCCACCTCGAATGTGATTAAAAAGAGGAGAGCACAAAGAAAAATCCCAAGCACAATTAACAAGAACTTTAAGAAAAACATTGACATAAATAAATTCTCAGACATAAAAGAAACAGTCACCCAATGACTAGTAGTTTAGTGTCCAAATATATCAGTGTGTGACGGTTGACACAATTTTGTCTTGCTTATATCTGCTGTACAAACTGCTCTTGAGAATAGAAGCATCCTTGGCTTTTTGTTGTGTAAACCAGTAATTCCCAAACTGTGCACCTGGGAGCTGCCACCTCTCCACAGGGGTGCCGCAAAATATTTTAAGATGCACAAGTTTTTGGTTTTTTTAAATCCCTTACATACAAAAAGTCATACTTTTACTTAGGTTAGGGTGCTGTGGAAACATTTTAATTGAAAAAAGGTGCCGCAACTACGAACAATTTGGGAAACACTGGTGTAAACAGTTTATAAAAATATTATTTTTTTCTAACTAAACTAAGGAAAAAATTGCTAGTATAACATATTACAAGTACAAATGAACTTTATTTCAAAATTACTTGACCTTCTCCATGTTGCAAACCACGGATATTAAGGTATGAGAATGTATAACCAATATCCCAGTTGCATAGGAAGAATGCTTTACTATTTACATGAAATGTTTTATGCATTCGGCATTAGTTTATAAAAACAGATTTGCAACATGAATGCCTGTTGTTGCTTTTCCTTATTTTACTGTCGTTATCTGGATTTTTACTGGATTATCTTGCAGTTTTTAAGGAATAAAATAAGGGCTTTTGAGCTGAAATGCTATAGAAAGATTTTCAGAAATCCGTGGACAATAAAAAAGATGACATTCTGACATTCTAAAAGACATGTACATCAAGGAAGATAGGCTAGTAAACAGCATTTTCTCTTGAACATAAAAATATTTTGACAATATCGAGCGCTACAGCAGATTCGAATAAAAATATAGCAGAAGGAATCGTGCCAGGAAAGAAGGGCAGGGGCCGACCAGCACAAAGATGGGCATAGGATGTACATGATACCTTGGATAGAAGAGTGCACAAGACAGAAGTTTTGCAGACATATTTATTTCAAAGAGCTGGCTTATTTGTGTGCAGACTGTTGGTTCCTCACCTCTTGCAATTTGACTTTGAAGCAAATGCCACTGGCTAGTTAAAGGGACAGTGGGTCTGAAATTTTTCTCTCAGAATGAGGCACTAGAACCCACACAAGAAAGTGAATACGGTAAAACCTCATTAACACAATTGTGTCTTCTACAGGTGTGAGCAACCAGCTGCACATCTCCCAGGGTGGTGTCTCCAGCTCACCCAGTACCCCACCAGTGAGTCGTTCCATCATGTCTAGTCCATTTACCTTGCTGTCTAGGTCTGAGCATGCCTTTGCTCATATACACCCACAGGTGAGCTTTGGCATGTTTGTGTTGGCGTTTTTGTTTATGTGTGTGGTTGCCACCCGGGTACACAGACATTACGTTAAACTTTTTCCGTTCTCAACAGCATGCCCCACTCACTCGCACTCAACACCCACCACTCACACTCGGTACTTGTCACTCACTTGCACTAAACATCCACCACTATCACTCAACACCCACCACTCACTGACATTCAACATCCATAACTCACACTAAACATCTACTACTCACTGACACTCAGGACCCAACACTCACTCACACTCAACACCAACCACTCACTTACACTCAGCAAGCACCACTCATTCACACTCAACACCAACCCCACACTCATATTCAACACCCACCACTCACACACACTCAGCACCTACCACTTACATACACTTAGCACCTACCACTTACTCACACTGAACACCCATAACTCACACTCAACAACCTTAACTCACACACAGCACCCATAACTCACACTCAGCACCAATAACTCACACTCAGCACCCACCACTTACTCACACTGAACACCCATAACTCACACTCAACAACCTTAACTCACACAGCACCCATAACTCACACTCAGCACCCACCACTTACTTACACTGAACACCCATAACTCACACTCAACAACCCTAACTCACACACAGCACCCATAACTCACACACAGCACCCACAAATCACACACAGCACTAACAACTCACACACAGCACCCATAACTGACACACAGCACCCACAACTCACATGCAGCATCTATAACTCACACACAGCACCTATAACTAACACACAGTACCCACAACTCACACACAGCGCCCAAAACACACACAGCACCCATGATTCATACACAGCACCCATAACTCACACTCTTGTTGGATCGGGCAAAGACTTCAATGGGTGTTTTTCCTTCAAGACATAAACCATGGAGAGGAATGGATACCCATGCCAAATGAATACAAGCAGTACTTTGTGGTGGTTATCACCCTGACAAGACATTGCCAGGATTTTGCACCACCAATAGTTGATGCAGAAGTGAAAGCATTGGTAGAGGAACACACATCACTGGAAGATGCTGTTATACATACAGATGGTACTCTGATACGCCAGACGCGAAGTGCTTGGGCTTTCACTGCAAAAACCAAAGGGCAAGTCATTAAAGAAGACAGTGGAGCCTTTGCTTCTACCAGCAGCAGCATGATGATTGAGGTCGTGTCGGTGACAAATTCCCTAGAATGGCTGAAAAGAAAACTCAGGAGTTCACCAATGCATGTTTGCTCAGCGACTCAATGAGCGTGCTACAAAAGATCAAGGTGGGGTACGTATGGGAACAACGGCTTCATCTGATACAGCACGCAGTGTTTCACAAAATAACCTTCATTTTTGTCACAGGGCATGCTGGTGTGAAGGGCAGTGAGAAAGCAGATACTTTGGCTGGCAGTGCGGTTATCCAGAATGGGCCCTGTGTGGAAAGGAGAGACATCATCAATGCCAGACGAGAGACTAAACACTCAGAGACTTTCAGGTTAATCGAAGATTATTTTTCACTGAATAGACTGCATACCCTGGGTGTACCAGTTGGAGCTGCGAGACAGGAAAACCACATGGGAGTCACCCATCGTTACGTCAGCCAGATCAGAATGGGGGTTGTTATCCTAAAAACACTTGGAGACATACTCAGGAGGAGATCAGAGCACTTACAGCCATGTCCGATGTGTGATGAAGATGATCTGAAAATTGAACAATGAACAGTGTTTTTTTGTTTTTGTTCTGACTTTCAGATCTTCACTTACCCAAGTATAAGCCCTGTCAACGCCATCAGTGGAGTCATCAGTCCCACCACACTCAGTCTGATTGCCTCTCCTATAGCCACTCCACGGACAACACCAAGATCCACCCCGATACCTCGGTGGACCTCCAACTTTATATCTATGGATGACAACATAGAATACTCCATGCTGGCAAACATCATGCCTACAGTAAACACAGATGAGTCTCTCCTTGGGGAAGGTGAGGTTTCATGCTCAGTTTATTGCTCGTTGTGCAGTCCGGGGGGGTGTAACATTGCATACTCTGTGCTGCTTAAAGTGGCTAAAAAATGACTCCAGATTTACCAGACTTCACTTCTTATCAGGTAATTAGTTAATCCCAATTTCAGCTTCGGGGAAAGGGGGGGGGGGGGGGGATGCTTCATTTTTGTGCCAGCTAAAGCAACGTACAATGCCCCTCACTGTTCCTTATGATAAAATTGAGACAGATTGTGGTCTCGGTGGAGCTAACAGCTTACATTACAACATATGTGTTAGAGGGCGGGTCTGTTCTTCCCTAACCGCACCTCTGCCACAAGGGTTCCAGAAACCAAAGAGGAAGCGGTCCAGGATCAGCTGGCAGCCGGATCATTATTTTCTTACCTGTACAGCTCTGGGGTGCTTAAACCTCATTAAAGTGGGTACCAGAAGCTTTTAGAATTGTCTAGAAAGGAAAAGGGGCGTGGAACTGAAAATCCATAAGGGAAAGATGAAGATGAGAATAAATCAGGCAAATAGTAATGTGATCTCTCCTAAAGGTATCCTTCTTTAAGATGTGGAGTCTTGCATCTATTTAGGCAGTGATGTAGATAAAGATGGGGGAACCCGATAGAGATATTAAAATAAGAATACAAAAGGCAATAGGAGCTTTAATAGTACTGTGAAGTTTATGGAGGTAAAGAGAAATTAAAATTTATACTAGACTTACAATTTTTAATTCTTATGTTAAATCAGTATTGATTGATGTATAGAGTGGAAGTATGGAGAACAACTAAGGCAATCAGTAATAGACTACAAACATTCATTAATTGATGCCTGCACAGAATAGAGGGAATTAAATGGTATGATAGAATCACTAGTGTAGAGCTTTTGGAGAGAACTAAACAAGTTGTCCCAGTATATAAGCAACAGTGACAAACAGTACTGAGGACTACATTGATAAACATGTAATCTACCTCAATATCTGTAATATTCTTGGGCTAGAACAGAGGTTCTCAACCTGTGGGTCGCAACCCTTTTGAGGGTCAAGAAACTCTTTCACAAGGGTCGTGAAAGACCATAGGAAAACACATATTCACTGAAGTTATGAAGTAGCAAAAAAAAAATAATTTTATGTTTGAGGCGGTCACCACAACATGAGGAACTGTATTAAAGAGTCACAGCATTAGGAAAGTTGAGAACCACTGGGCTGAAATTTAGGACTAGACTTCATATCCTTGTGACATTATCTGCTTTGGGACGGCTTTTGTCTTACTCCTACTTAGCAAAATTCATCCCTTTGCATTGTTTCACTTTTTTTCCCCCTTCCCCAGATCGTTATTTTTCAGTTCACTCAAGTGAGAGCTTGGACTCCTCAAATGGGGCTCTGTCCCAAGGTCCGCCTCAGCAGCAGTCTTCTCAGCACCAGCCTCAACAACAGCAGGGAAATTCTGGTCTCTCCCAGCAGCAACAGCAGCAGTCACTGCAACAGCCTGCAACACCCCAACAGCAACAGTCAGTGGCCTCAAGTGGCTCAGATTCTTCCCCCAAGCAATAGCATGCCATTTTGACCTACCTGTCTGGCAAACAGCATTTTAATAATGGTTTCTCTTGTGTCCCACAAGTCAGAGCATTCTGGCAACTGAACTTGCAAGATTTTAGTCCAGAGTGTGAATGAAAACCTGGCCAAGTATTTGCCTATTTTCCCCAGCGATTCTCATGCTTTTATTGATTCTACCCCAAACCTCATTACCTGTGTGACCACTTAGCTAAAGAAAGGATACTTGTATCTTCTGTACATTAAATAATGTATTGTGGGGAGAACAAACGAACTGTATTTTTAAAGTGTCACAAATTGGGCACGCATGCCAGTCTTACATTCGGCCCTTCCAAGCAGGCATTTTTCATACAGCATTGTATTTTATCAATAAAGCAAGTTATGTGCATACAGCAATATTATGAATATCAAGAATAAATACATAAGCATAGATGGTAAGAAGCATGCGCGCACATGAGCACTCACGCCCACAAACACATTTACATTCATACATACACATGCACACCCACATACATACACATGAACACCCACACCACACACACATGCACACGAGTGTCATTCAGACAGACAGAAAGTATTTGTGCACCCAAAAAAAAAAAACCCAGTTTTTTTGCAGTCATGATTTGATGATAGCTAACAGACTTCAAGATACAAATTGTCCAGCAGCAACATATATTCCAAACTAATTCAGCTTTGATTCTGATAAGTGATAATTTTCTATCGCATTCATTTATAGTGGCTTCTTCAGAAACATTTTGTACCCCTCCGTGTAGCATATATTGAGAATTGCTAATTTACCTATTGGTTATTTAACTACAAGACTTTGCCTGTTTTGGTTAACCAATGGGTGAATAATGATATAATCTTTTTTTTTTTATACCAATGGAAGAACAGTGATATACTCTACATGTTTTTAGTTAACCAATGGCAGAAAAGGTAATGCTGTGCCTGTTTTTGATTAACCAATGGAAGAACTGTGATATATTCTGCCTGTTTTTTGGTTAACAGTGGGATAAGAGTTATATACTCTACAGAATAGTGATATACTGTGTTGTCCTGTTTAGTTAGTGTCCTGAACTGGTTATTTAAAAGTTCTGTTGTGTTTTGTACAGGAAAAGTTATTTATTTTTTTTAATAACATTGTTTTCCCAAATGCCGGATCTTCCATTTCTTTAAAGTTTTTTAATTTTAAATCCTCATGACTGAGCTATTAGTGACCTAAGACAGAAAAGTTACCATAACAAATTGGATTACATGAGTTAATGTGACAGAAGAATGGGATAGATGTAGTTAAGACGTCTGAATGAAATACAGACTGATCAGTAAATATGTTGAATGTGAACAAAGAAGACACAGGCCAATTGCACAATGTATTACTGGGTATATTTGAGTGTGTTTCCTCAAATACATACTCCAAAATTGGCCAGAAATTCAGATGTCGGAACAAGATTCCAAAACAAACCTGCCAAGATTCACGCAGTATGGAAAAATATCAGACCCACTGTGTACACAGCATGGAAAAATATGGAAAAATATCAGATCCACTGTGTACACAGCATGGAAAAATATCAGATCCACTGTGTACACAGCATGGAAAAATATCAGATCCACTGTGTACACAGCATGGAAAAATATGGAAAAATATAAGATCCACTGTGTACACAGCATGGAAAAATATGGAAAAATATCAGATCCACTGTGTACACAGCATGGAAAAATATGGAAAAACATCAGATCCACTGTGTACACAGCATGGAAAAATATGGAAAAACATCAGATCCACTGTGTACACAGCATGGAAAAATATGGAAAAACATCAGATCCACTGTGTACACAGCATGGAAAAATATGGAAAAACATCAGATCCACTGCGCTGGTCACACAACCCATTGAGCAGTTTCCAAAGAGCATATTTTATGGTGAACTGCAGCATAGAAAAAGGTTTTAGCGTACAGGAAAAAAAAAAGGCCTCTTATGCTTTCAGCATTAACACAGCAATATAGGCTGTTGTACGGGACCGATCGTGATGCCGAGGAAGAACTGGCAGAGATACAGGGAATTGAAATAACTACATGGTAAACTTGACCTCTAGTGTCTCTTCAGTCTGTTGTCTGCACTGCACCAAAACTTTCCAGGCTCCTGTTGCACTTATCAGCCTTCTTTGTACTCATGATCATTGATTTTGTTTCGTGGGTGGCTGGATAGATAGATGTTGAGTTGACTTTAGCATTGTCATGGACTGATTGTGTAAGGGAAGTAATTCAGGAAAAATTGGAAGAGACAAGAGTTGCTGAACTTAACACTTGACCCTAACAAGATTATTGATATGATACGAATGATTAGCATTTAGCCAGTCAGTCAGGAGTAAATTTTGACAAATAATACTACTGAATTAATAGGTTGTGTCTCGCTACCCCCCCCCCCCTCCCCTCTTCCCCCCCCCCCCCCCCCCCCCGGTCTTTTTTTCCCCCTCCATAAATAATCCCTGTTAACTAAAATTAAATACAAGCAGACACAATATTCAGATAGTGCAGTGTGTTGTTTGTGTCCTGTTTGTTCACATTTTCCATTGGGGAACAACCTTTGAGTTGTCTGTTTCTTAATAGTATTTAAGGAGAACAGGATTTTCTCATGTGGTCAGTACTTTTTTTTTTTTTTCCATGTTTGACCAAGTGAACAATCTATATTATCCACTTTTTTCTTCAAAATAATAGTAACTTTAATACTTTGTTTTGCTGGGGATATTGATAAAAGACAATGAAACAAGACAAAAGATTGTGTAAATGTTACTTGCCAAAACCATGCGTCTTCTGTGCAGATTACATGGTAGTAATATTCACTCCCAAACACAGGCTTCCCAAATCTATGCACAGCCTTTAGTGGGAAAGTCTTATGTGACTAAAACCTATACCCATTCATTACAGGGAAAACATTGTGAATCTAAAATGTATGCTTACTTATTACAGGGAAAACATTGTGAATCTAAAATGTATGCTTACTTATTACAGGGAAGACACTGAATCTAAAACCTGTGCTTACCCATTACAGGTAAGACAGTATGAATCTAAAACCTAGGCTTATCCAACACAGGGAAGACATTGTGAATCTAAAACCTATGCTTATTCAACACAGGGAAGACATTGTGAATCTAAAACCTATGCTTATCCATTACAGGGAAGAGGAAGACATTATGTAGCTAAAACCTATGCCTTTCTCTTACTGGGTAGATATTGTTTAGCTAAAGTCTGTGCCCGTCCATTACTAGGAAGACATTGGGAATCTAAAACCTGTGCCCATCCAAACTGAATAGGCATTGTGAATTACAAATGTGTGCCTATCCATGATTGGGTAAATTGAGAACTATGCCTGTCCACTACTGGAAAGGCCCGGTAAATCTACAACCTATGACAATTAAATATTGTGAAAAAATCCTAAGTAATTGAAGGAAATCAAGTTTTTCGAAGTGTTTTCAGCATCAGTATTAATGATAACTGGTGGAAATAATAAAAAGCAAAAAGATCAAGGAAAGCAATGAGTAAGTAAATCTTGCATCGTAATTTAAAAAGAGATAAGGATTTGAATTGATAAAAAACAAATGCTGTGTAGTGGCATGGTTACTTGTGCGAGTCAAGGATGTTTTTGCTTAACATAGAGGTGACCAAGGTATTTAGAAATGAATTAATACAATGACTGTTATGGCTAGTAAGCTCAACAAGGGAAAAGGAAAAGAAGTACATAGATATAAGCAATAATTTTAGCCAAAGTCTTTAACAAATAAAGCTTGAAGAATTTTAAGCTACGGCAAGCAGGAGGGTCAGATAGGGAAAGAAAAAAACCTAATTTCTGGCTGTGGCTAAGGATTTTTGTTTCTTTGTAGTTTAACCCTTTTATCTCAGCGCAAAAAAAGCTATGGTACCGGGAATTTTAAAAAAAATCATTGATAAATGTTTTTAAATTATGTGGATTAAAATTTGTCACATCTTTTCTTTATATGAATTGATGTGACATAAAAATGAGGTTTTAAGGTTTTGAACAACGGATCAACATCATGGCGCACGGGTGTAACCTATAAGTGCTCCATTCTTCTTCTAACTCATGTCTGAGTCCGAAGAAGCTCAGCACAGTGCACATGCTCTGTATCACCGGCGAGGATCCTGAAATACTTTGGGTAGATTTTTAACTTTAATTTTTGCCCAGGCAGCGCCGTTAGGCTACTCTTTTCAATTTCCAACTGCCAAGGGATTTTTTATGTGCGGAAAAATACACACAGGTGTCCAATCTCACTACCCAGAGACCAAGAGAAATTACTAGAAGTCCAAGACCACGTGAAAAAATCCCAGCTCTTATCGGGTATTGAACGTGGAACCTCTAGCACTCGAGGCGGACTCCATGCCTCAAGACCTCGCAGCCCCTTCTTTATGTGAATGAAAGGGGGTAATCGGATCTAAAAATTAAAAGGATTTCATGTCCTAGCCCTCCCCCCCCCCCCCCCCCCCCCCCTCCAAAGTGTTCCCCCCTCCCCCCCCCCCCCCCTCCAAAGTGTATACGGTGACTCATACTTGACCCTCTGACTACTGTCTGACTACTAAGGGTCAATTATTACATCGTAATAGCCCTTTAAAAAATCCTGTTTACGTCCCCACCCCACCCCCAATTTTTTATGGTAAATTAAATATTTTTGGGGTCTCTTAAATGCAGCTCACAGGGAAACAGAGCCACTGTCGTTAATTGGGCTTCTCAGGAACTTATCATTGAGGCCGTGCTAGTTTAGTGGCAATAAGGGGGATTAGTCACGGATGACTGTAAAGTTTGCTGCTTCTCAGGGCAGAAGGGTTAATTTCCTGATAAAGACTGGTTGAAATGCTGAGTTGTGTTTGTGCACATAGTTTTCCTCCTCCTTATTAAGCCTTTTAGTCGTACTTTGTGTGAAATTAACCCATTTCTGGAACAGTTTTGCAGGGAGCTGAAGCTGTTTTTTCAAAACTATACATTTTCATTAT